AACCAGTCAAGCTGGTGGGAATAAGCAAGCAGCTGTTGTTTTGGTATAATGTCCCAGTGCTTAGAAAAGAATCATATCTACACCACTCCTTCAAAGACTGAACTTGGCTGAAGAGGCGGTAGAAAGAATTTAAGAGCCGGAGGAAGGGGTGGAGGGTTGTGGTGTCACCGTTTCCTTCTCAAATGATGTGACTGTCATCAGGAAGCAGAAGTTGCGGAGGGGACCAAACAGTACTTGGGTCTTGCAGCCATGGAACAAAATCAGCAAAGCAATGACAGCCAGCTGTAATGTGGTAGTCATGGGTCTGGAGACAGGGTCACCAGACCCTCACCTGGGATTCCTGTCACCATTCCTCCCTGCACCCATCTGCTGATGATCTTGGGGAACGCTGGGTGCACAAGAAGAGGAAGGTTGAGGGGTCAAGACCTCGTGACACACGCCTCAACCATGTGTGGGTGACATGTTTCTCTAATGCAACTACTTTTGAGTCACCCAGGCTCCTGTAATTAACCCCAGTAAAATCAATGATCTACCAAGCTGGACTTGGATGGAACCATTTCTTTCCACAGGTCATCAGGCTTTCACAGCCTTAACCTGCTGCACCATCCCCCTGAACCCAAGAAAAATTTATTCTTGCACATTAAAATTTGAAGGAAGAAGCTGGGTGGTGGCAGCGGCACACACTTTTAAGCCCAGCACTCTGGAGGCAGAGCCAGGCAGACCTCTGAGTTCGAGACCAGCCTGGTCTACAAGGTGAGTTCTAGGACAACCAGGGCTACACAGAGAAATCCTGTCTTGTAAGAAAAAAAAAAAAATGAAGACTTTCAATCTATCTGGGCCCTAAGTAGAGCATACAATTATGAGCATGCAGCCAGTGTGCAAGTGAGGGGCTTAGAGACATCAGGTCTAGGGATGTCTATCTAAAGTGGCAGGTAACCCAAGCTAGCCTCTTATTTGTGACAATCTTCCTGCCTCAGTCCCTGGAGCGTTATGATTACAAGGGTGAGCTGCTGTGGGATGGCCTGTATGTCAAATTGCTCTGATTGGTCAATAAATAAAACACTGATTGGCCAGTGGCTAGGCAGGAAGTATAGGTGGGACTAACAGAGAGGAGAAAAGGAAGAACAGGAAGGCAGAAGAAGACACTGCCAGCTGCCACCAGGACAAGCAGTATGTAAAGATGCCAGTAAGCCACCAGCCACATGGCAAGGTATAGATTTATAGAAATGGATTAAGATATAAGAACAGTTAGCAGGAAGCCTGCCACGGTCATACAGTTTGCAAGCAATATAAGTCTCTGCGTTTATTTGGTTGGGTCTGAGCGGCTGTGGGACAGGCAGGTGAGAGAGATTTGTCCTGACTGTGGGCCAGGTAGGAAAACTCTAGCTACAAATGGCGCCCAACGTGTTGGCAAGAGTTTTTACCTAAAACCTGAGAAAAAAAGATTCTAAAATGGAGCTAAAAGCAGTTCCTAGTTGTCTCTTTCAAGTTAGTGGCAGCCTACATTTTAAGCTACTATGGCTGGTTCCTGGTGTTCCTGCTGGACCTGCAGTATAGCGGGAATGAGGCCTCTGCAAGTGGCACATTAAGCTGCATGGTGGATTTAGTCTTTGCTAGTACAAAACAAAAAAAAGAGGTTTCTGGGCTACACGCTGCTTTGATAGAAGCATAGACCCACTATTTCTGAAAGTTGATGGCTCCCAGAACTGACAGAAAATGTACCACCGCCATGTTGGGAAGCTGAAGTGGGCGGAGCCAGCAGCCACAACGCTGTTTCAGTCTTAGAATGTTGCAGTTTAAAGCAATAGGCTCAAGGTAATATAAAACATAAGCCACGTAAAGATGGCTACCACACAGAGAATCTGGATTATGTTCTCTTTGATATTCGTAACTGAAGAAAAATATTTGATTGCAAAAGCTGTTGAGTTATGCCAAAATGTATATTTTAAAGGTACCTTGACTTCAAAATTTGGATGTAAGGATATGTTGTTTTGGAAAGGAGGCTCTGCTTTTGTTCCCACAGAAAGCCAGAGGCTATGGATTTGTTCCAGATTAAGATACATCAGGTTTGACCAGCCAAGACCCCCTGAAAGGTCTCCGATGACACCATGGCCCAGATGATCCACATCCAGAACCGTTTCAAGGCAACTGGCTCAGACGATACACCCTCACAGACTACTCCATAATCCTAAAATTTTCTTTGTGTCCCCATAAGATACAGCACCCCCCTCCAGCAGGAAGTAGTAAGAGAAGCTACGCCCAAATTCCCAAATATACCAGGCTGGGTTTGGAGATGTGTAAAAGTTAAAACCTTCCTCTTTAAAAAAAAAAAAGGGGGCGGGGGAAGTGCTGTGGGATGGTCTGTATGTCAAATTGCTCTGATTGGTTAATAAATAAAACACTGATTGGCCAGTGGCTAGGCAGGAAGTATAGGTGGGACTAACAGAGAGGAGAAAAGAAAGAACAGGAAGGCAGAAGAAGACACTGCCAGCCGCCACCAGACAAGCAGTATGTAAAGATGCTGGTAAGCCATGAGCCACGTGGCAAGGTATAGATTTATAGAAATGGATTAATTTAAGCTGTAAGAACAGTTAGCAAGAAGCCTGCCACGGCCATACAGTTTGTAACCAATATAAGTCTCTGTGTTTACTTGGTCGGGTCTGAGCGGCTGTGGGACTGGTAGGTGAGAGAGATTTGTCCTGACTGTGGGCCAGGCAGGAAAACTCTAGCTACAGTGAGCCACCCCAATACCCCCAGTATAGAACTAACCGTAATTGTCAAACTGGAGGTCCAGGTGAGAAAATGGCATGAGGACTTTAAAGTCTCATATGTCAATAACATAATTTAATGACACATTTATTTATCAAAATAGAATGTGAGAGTGGACACAGTGGTACACACCCTTAATCTTAGCATTTGGGAGGCAGAGGCAGGCAGATCTCTGTAATTCAAGACTATGGTGATATGTTGTATGTGCTTTAACAAATAAAGTTTGTCTGAAGAGCAGAGAGCAGAGCCCGCCACAGAGTTAGCCACAGAGGCCAGGCAGTGGTGGCTCACACCTTTAATCCCAGCACTAGGAAGGTAGAGACAGGAAGTGATATGGCTGGGCAGAGAGAGGAATATAAGGCCAGAGGAGACAGGAGATGTGAGGGGGCTCTTTAGGCTGAGGGATCAGGGTCATTCAGTCTAAGTATTCATGGAGACAGGATCTTCCCCTTTTGGCTGAGGAGTTGGTGAGGTGGGAAATGGCTATGGCTCGTTTCCTCTGATCTTTCAGCATTTACCCCATATCTGACTCCAGGTTTTTATTATAAGACCAATTAGTATTGGTGCAACACAAGACCAGCCTGTTCTACATAGAGAGTTCCGGGGCAGCCAGAGCTACATAATAGAGACCCTGTCTTATAATGCCAAAACAACAACAAAAACTGTTGTAAGTTTGAGTACAGTCTGTACTACTTGAGATCCTGTTTTTAAAAGCTTAAATTAGGGGCTGGAGAGATGGCTCAGAGATTAAGAGCACTGGCTGCTCTTCCAGAGGACCTGGGTTCAATTCCCAGCAGCCACACGGTGACTCACAACTCACTCTTACACAGGCATACATATGCAGGCAAAACACCAATGCACATAAAAAGTAAATGAATAAATATTCTAAAAAAGGCCGGATTGTGGTGGCACATGGCTCTAATTCCAGAACTTGGGAGGCAGAGGCAGGTGGATCTCTGTGAGTTTGAGGCCAGCCTGGTCTATAGAGTGAGTTCCAGGACAGCCAAGACTGTTTCACAGAGAAACCCTGTCTCACCTCCCCCGCAAAAGAACGGTTTTATTTATTTATTCGTATATTACATGTATATAGTGTATATTTGTGTGTATATGTTCATGTATGTATTTGTGTGTGTCCATGTGTGTGTGCCATGATGTACATGTGGAGGTCAGAGGATAGTGAGAAGCTGTCTCAGAAAAATAAAAAATAAATAAATAAGAGAAAACAGAGAAATAAAGAAATGAACAAAATAGGGATTTAGGGGTATGGTCCAATAGTAGAGTACTTGCTTGGTATTAATGAGGACCACTGCAAAAATAAATAAAATAAATAAAAATGAAACAATGCCTGAAATAAATGAATATTGTTATAGATGACAACCCATTAAAGCTGGAAAACCTTGAGTATGTACATTTAATTCAACCTCACTTAAACCAGAGGTGGTGGCATGTGACTGTAATTCCAGCACTCAGGAGGCAGTAGACCAGAAGTTAACAGTGGGAAGTGCCGCTGTTCTTTCTCACCACTAAAATTCGAGGCAGCCTGAGGCTGGCAGTTCAAAATAACTTCCCCATAGCTGAGTCACACTTAGAATCCCTCAATAACCTAGCGCAGCGCTTCTCCAGCTTTAGCATGCACTGAAACTCAGAGCTGGGTCCTGTCCTAGAGTCTGTGTTTCGAGGACCCATTTCCCAAATTTGAGTGGCCTGGCCTGTGGACCACACCTTGTAAGCATCAGACCACGTGCTAGGGAGCGTTTACGGGGCGAGGCTTCTACTGCTGGGGGCAGTGGGGACTGGCTGTTTCCCTGCTCAGTCCTTTCTCGGTAGCCGGGACAGCCTGAAGGCCCCGGTGGATGACCAGCCCCTGCGCTTAATCAAGGCTGATTCAGGGGAACCGCCATTCCGGAGGGACGCGCAGATGCAGGCCATGATTAAACAGCAGCTGCTCCGGAGTCACGTGGCCGGGAGAGGCTGGGTCTCCGCTCGGAGCCCAGAGCCGCGGGGCGGGGTGGGGCGGGGCGGGAGGCGGGTCCTGCTGGGGCGGGTCCCGGCTGAGGGTCCTCAGGCCCGGAGGTGGAGCGGCTGGCCAGAGTGCCCACGGCCGAGTGGAGCGATTCCACCCGATCGCCGTCATGCTTCGGGTCCCGCTGTGCTCGCTGCTCCTGCTACTGGCGCCGCTCCGGCTGGGCGCTGCGCAAGGCGTCCATGTAAGTCTTCGGTGCCACCGCGCGGGGACGCTCCGCCGCTGGGAAGCGGCCAGAGGCCCAGGGAAGCCGCGGCTCTGCACAGCGGGAATCCGGGGAACCCTCAGTCACCCCTCGGAGCAAGCGGGCCGCCGAGGCGCAGGCAGTGGCCAGGCCTCCCTTAAGGGGCGGGCCGGCCGGCGGGGCGCGCGTCCTTCCTGGTTGCTGGCGCGCTAGGGTTCCGCTGCGGCGGTGCCCTGCGCGCAGACTTGTTTCCTCGTTTGTGCAGCGTGTTCGGGGGTTAGCTGAGGTGCGCCCGCACCTTTCCAGCTTCGGTTTCTGGGGAGAGGGGCTCCAGGCTGCGCGGGGTTGCGGAAGGGCTCCTCGGGCCGTGGCGTGGGGCGCGATCCTTGCGGAGTTCGGGCTTCACGGAGCGCTCCGGAAGGAGAAAAATGGGGTCAGGAGAGGCTCCTGCAGTGGGGTCACAGGAATATTTGTATTAGGGGACATCGCCCTTCTCAAACATCTTGTCCGCTTCTTGCTAGCCACCTGCTGGATGCTTTTAGTTTGGGGTGTTCATCGTCTTTCTGGAAGCCTTTCCTTTTAGAGTTGAGGGTGGGAAAAGGCAAACTGCCCCAGGCGAGATCTCCGGGGGCGGCGGGCGGGGAAGAGGGGGGCTGAGGCTCGTTGGACACGGCCGCTGGGGAGGTTCGCACCGAACCTGTGAAGGCGACAGTGCCTGGTGGAACACAGCTGCTGCTGCTTTGCATTTTGAGCGAATCAGCTTGGGGCCCTCCAGATGGACTGAGTCGGGGGTAAGTTAACGTACAAGTTAGTAGACTTGAAGCCTTACAACTTGCAAAAATTACTCTCTTGGAAATGGCACACGTTTATCTAAAACCAGAGTTGAAACTTTTAAGTTTTTGGAAAAGAGTTGCTGAGAATGCTTTCATTTAAGGAAAAAGTTATTGCAAATTGAGTGCCTGCTGCTCCGTGTGAGCTTGCCATCCTTGAGAACCAATGGGCAGAGGCTCATGGGAGCAGGTAGGGTAGAGGGCAGAAAGGAACCCATAATTCCTTCAGTATCAGTATGGACAGGAAGAGACTAGGGTTTATGGAGGTCATTGGCCTGGTGTAATTCCTTAGGTAAGAAGTAGGAGGGGCCCTGGGAGAGGCCTCTGCAGAGGTTGCTGTCTCATCGAGAATCTAAGTACCATCTTGAGCCCTTAGACTAGGGTCAAAGAGAGATACCAGTCGACTATAGCTTTCCATTGTTTTTTTGTTTGCATCTGCAGCATTAACTCTCAAACTTTAGGCCTAGATGAAAAGTTAAAATGCGTGCTTTCTTTTTTCTGTTTTTTTCAAGACAAGGTTTCTCTGTATAGACCTGGCTGTCCTGGAACTCACTCTGTAGAACAGGCTGGCCTCAAACTCAGAGATCTGCCTGGCTCCACCTCCCAGAGTGCTGGGATTAAAGAGGGCAACACCAGCAGCCAGCCATAATAAACCGGGCTGGAGAGATGGCCCAGCAGTTAAGAGCACTGGCTGCTCTTCCAGAGGACCCGGGTTCAATTCCCAGCAACCACATGGCAGCTCACAACTGTCTGAAATTCTAGTTCCAGGGGATTTGACACCTTCACACCAATGTATATAAAATAAAGTTTAAAAAAAAAAGAAAGAAAAAAAAGTCATAAACCAATTGCACAACATACATTGTATGAAAAAGAAATGTCTCAGAATTTTCAGAGTTGTAGTTACATTAAGATAAGTCCGTTCTTTTGTTTTTAATGACAAGGTCTCATGAAGCCCAAGGTGACCACCTCTAACTTAGTATGTAGTAAAACATAGCCTTGAACTTCTGACCCTCCTGCCTTTACCTCTCAGGTGCTGGGGATATAGTTGGGTACCGTTGTGCCTGTTTATGTAGTGCGGAGGGTGGAACCCAGGCCTTTGCTCATGCTAAGTACTCTACCAACTCAGCTATACCCCAGCCCCAGAAGTCAGCTTTTTATGTTGACCTTTGCAGTCTGCAGTGAACTCACGTGTTGGTAGTCTTTGAAAAACTCTATTGTACACTCACAGTAAGAGTGAGAATGGAAAGGCAGTGACATTTAATATTGGTACGAAAAGAGTTTTGACTTAGGGAGAGATTTTCCCTAGACTTCACGCTGACAGCTGGTAATTTAGAGTGTTTTTCCTATTATTAAAAAAAGGAAACAATTCATACCCATTGAGGGGAACCTTTAAACATACGAAACACTGTTAGGACGATGAGCACTGAGGCTGGAGATGTGGCCTGCCTGGTAGAGTGCCTGCCTAGCATTCATGAAGCCTGGGATTCCATCCTCAGAACCACGTAACCAACCACCCATGGCAGAGCACACCTGTAATCCCAGCACTTGTTAGGTGGAGGCAGGAGGATTGGCAATTCAAGATATACTTGGCTACATTGTGAATTCAAGGCCAGCCTGGCCTACGTGAGACCTGTCGTAAAAAAGAATAAAAAGAAGGAAAGAACAAAATAAAACTATCCGTCACGCATCACGCCATGATTGCAGTTATTTTAATAATAAAGCATAGCAACCAACTGATATTCTAGTGGCTTGGATTTGAGGCAGGTTGGAGCTGTGTAAGTGGTCTGTGGGCTTTTATTGGCTGGGGATGAGGATACTTTAATATCTATCCCACAAAGCTGATGCCAGTTCCTGGTTGCAGGCGGAGTTCATCTGGAAGTCTCTCATTGGCCACTGTCCTTTCTAAAGAAGTCACTTGCCTTCCCGAGTCTGCCTGCCCTGAGCTGCTGGGGACTCTCTGGGAGCTGAGAGAATGGTACTCTTCAGGCAGCTGTCCCCGGGTTCCAAGGCTGCCCTGGCTGCAGCCACTGTCTTCGTGTCCATGATCCTCTCCCGCTCCTTTCTGGCTGAGACCCTTGAGCTCCAGGCTTGGCGCTGGCTGTTCCGCCTGCAGATGGTCCTGTTTGTCAACTCCCTCATGCTCATTGGTTCCTTGTACATCTGGCGGAGCACAGATGGTCCTGTTTGTCAACTCCCTCATGCTCATTGGTTCCTTGTACATCTGGCGGAGCACAGTGAGCAACCTCAGCCATTCCCCTGCCGTGGAATCCACCTGTTTCCAGCTTTGGAAGCTGGTTGTCGTGGCATTTCTGGCCCTGGCACATTCCAGTTTCTTCACCATGCTCTTCTTGGTGGCCGAGGAACCCTATGTGTTTTCCTTAGCAGCCTACTCCTGCCTGGGTGCTTACATTATTATGGTTTTCTTCCTTTGTATCTTGAACGCCACGGAGCAGGCCTACCAGTTCTTAGCCTGGCGCACTGGTAGGGTGGTGGGCAGCCTTGACAAGACAAGGTACCTGGTGCTCAGGCCTGCCCTGGCGGTGGCGGTGACGGCCGTACTCAGTACCATTGGCCTTCTGAATGCTGCCCAGCCCCCAGTGGTGAAAACCGTGGAGGTACCCATCCATCAGCTACCCCCCTCTATGAATAACCTCAAGATTGTGCTCCTTTCGGACATTCACTTGGGGCCCACAGTGGGCAGAACCAAGATGGAGATGTTTGTGAGGATGGTGAACAGGCTAGAGCCGGACATCACCGTGATCGTGGGTGACCTCTCCGATTCGGAGGCCTCCACCCTGCAGACGGCAGTGGCCCCTTTGGGCCAGCTCCGTGCTCATCTTGGCACCTACTTCGTCACGGGTAATCACGAATACTACACGTCGGACGTCAGCAACTGGTTCGCACTGCTGGAATCCTTGCATGTCCGACCTCTGCATAATGAGAACGTGAAGATTTCTGCCCCCCGGGACCAGGACGGTGGTGGGGCTGATAAAGAGTGGGTCTGCTTGGCGGGCGTGGACGACATAGAAGCAGACATCCTCCACTACGCCGGCCACGGCATGGACCTGGACAAAGCTCTGGAGGGCTGCAGCCCGGATAGCGCCACCATCTTGCTGGCTCACCAGCCTCTGGCTGCCAAGAGAGCCCTCCAGGCTCGGCCAGATATCAACTTAATTCTTTCTGGGCACACTCACGCAGGGCAGATCTTCCCCTGGAATGTCGCAGCCTATCTCCTGAACCCTTTCTTTGCTGGACTCTACCAAGTAGGCCAGGCTACATTTGTGTATGTCAGTCCAGGCACAGCCTACTATGGGATACCGATGAGGTTGGGGAGCAGGGCGGAAATCACAGAACTCATCCTGTGGCGGGCTCCCTAAGCCTGCCCCAGTGGCCCTTGCCGCCTTGTCCTTACCCAACACCTTTGTCCATCTCCTGCTCCGGCCTAGCCCTGCCAGCACCCCTTTGGCCACAGCCTGCTGGGAGCAGCGATTTGCAAGGGAACCGGCTGCCTGACAAGTTCAGGCTGATTAAACTCTTCAGATAATCAGTTGCTTTTTGGTAGTACACCTGTGATTCCACTCGGCCACATAAATGCGAACACACGTTTGTTTTCCAGCCTGCTGTAGAGAAGAGGCTCTTTTGTAGAGGGTTGAGTGCTTGGAAAGGACACCTCAGGGAGAAGCAGGGACACTTGTCTCCTGTGGGTTTAACCCTGGTTAGGACTTGGGTGGGTTCTGAAATTTCTTGATCTAGAGACAGTTGGTCTGGGCATGGACCATGTTGAGAGGTCAATTGAGATGGGCGCCATCCCTCTGCTTGCTGGAGGACTGTATCCCTTTCCCCCTTGGTTCAGTCAAGGTCACCTTTATTGAGGACATCAGTAGAATCAATGAGAGCATGGGGCCCTTCCTGTCTTGACCTTGAGGGGTGCTGATTGCTGGGCTTGGTGGCTGGAGAAGAAATCATGGGAATCCTGGTAGGTGACGGCTCTAGTCTCTTCATATCTTGGCGGCTCTGAATCCTGGTTCTGTGTCGTCTTTGGATGTTTTCTGTGTTCAGGGGTGAGGAAAGGACACTGATGTGATGGGGTATGTCTCAAGGCTGAGAGTGTGGTGCAGAGACAGAGCTCTTGCCTAGGAGGTGCCCGACTTTGAGTTCCAACCCAGCATCACAAAACAAAACTGTAAGGTAGAGAGAGTGTGTGAGTGTGTGTATACACATACATGTGAAGGGATACTAAGTCCTTCTGAAAGGTCATTTTATGGCCTGATGGTTAAGTAGCTTTATTGGTCATGGTGAGTGCAGGATTCTTAATACAGATAAACATTAAACAAGGCCTTAGAAACCCATGTTCCCTTCAAAGTGGTTTGCTTGTTTGAGGCTGGCTTCAGTTCACTCATAGCTAGATGAAGTGAAGCCTCTGAGAGTTGCTAATGGCAGGAGGCCATCTGTCACAGTTGGATGACTCAGGAGATTAGAGCCCCCTTCCCATTACCCCAGGTTTGCGTCTGAGCTTCTGGTGAGAGGCTGCGGTTTCTTGTCTACCCATAGGAAAGCTGAAGTTGATATGACTGTGATCTACCTCTGCCCCTGCACGTTCCCCCAGGCCCTGGCTCTGAAATGACAGGACTGGCTTACCTGGCTAGGGGCGTGGGGGGAAGACGATGGACACGGATGGACTCTAATCCATCTACCTTGGCCTCTGGCAACAGAAGCATAGGGTCATCCCTAGGGCTTCTAGACCCACAAGAAAAACAAAGGGGAGCTGGAGAGATGGCTCAGGGGTTAAGAGCACTGGCTGCTCTTCCAGAGGACCCGAGTTCAATTCCCAGCAACCACATGGTGGTTCACAACCATCTGGTGTCCTCTTCTGGCCTGCAGGCAGAACACTATACATAATAAATACATCTGAAAGAAAGAAAGAAAGAAAAGCAAAAGGAGCTATCTTGTGCAATGTCTGCAGATTATTGGTCTAGCCTTTGCCAGAGGCGAGAGAGACTGTGCCCTTTTTATATCAGAAAGCTTCTCTTAGGAAAAGGCCTCATTGAGATGTGTTGAGGAACATCTGAGTAGCTTAGATTCAGGGCCTGGAGTTCTGTATAGGGAGGTGCAGGTGCCCTCTGCCTGGAGAGGGGCTTCCTGCTGCTTATGAGGGAGGGCTGATGTCTGGCAGTGACATGTCCTCCTTAGATCTCTGGCTTCCATCAGCCCCGAAATGGGTGTAATTCTTGAATATACCTCAAGGCTGCTTTGGCTGGGAAAATGTGACGACTGTACCCATAGTCGGCCCTTAGTGTTAGATTTACATCAGTGCTAATCAGAGACCTGCTAAGGAGTGTGCCTGGAGAGTCTCTGGAGCAGCCAGGCATGGGAATTGTCAGTGAGTGGTGGGATGCCCTCCAGCAGAGACCAGATGGCCATGTGATACCTGCTGAGAGCCTCCTTCCTGTGCCTGAGTTTCCTATGCGCACTCTGCTTTGTAGATGGGGGTTCTTCATCTTCTTGTCCTTCTGGTGTGATGGGGTCTGGGGGGTGCAGGAGACTACTCACACAGTCTTGTTTCCCAGTAGATAAGGTATTGGCAGAGGGCCATCCAGTTTAAAAAAAAAAAAAATACATGCCTGTCATCCCCAGCACTCAGCGAGTGGAGACAAGACATTCAGAGTTCAAAGCTACTGGTGAGTTAGTGAGTTTGAGGACATCCTGGGCTACATGAGACCCTGTCTTGAAAAAAAGAGAGAGAGAAATAGCTTTGTTTTGAAACTGTGGCATTCTCATCCCCTCTTACCTTGTACAGATTTCAGTGAACTGGGAGAGACTTTGTAGAAACCACGATGTATTGATGGGATTCTGGGAGAGACCACTACTCAGCCCCTAGCTTTCCCACACCCTCCTGGGTACCTCTCCCACCTGCCACCCTCTGGCCTCAGGAAGGTCACTTTCTCCAGTGTTCCCCATTTCTGGTTTCTCAATCCCTTTCAGGGTCCTGACTGGCCTTCCTGTTCTGCTTTGCTTTGGGTCTCCCCAGACGGAGTTGACATCTTTTCACTCCTGATGCCATGGGGAGCCCTTGGACTCCAGACTCCTGCCCCTCCGGTTATGTTTACTGGTTCCTTGACCTCTGGATCCGTCTCTTCAGGGCCCTGGGCTTGATGAAGTTGGCTTTGGCGTCCTGGGTCTCTTGTGTTTGATACTGTCATATTGTCATTCGTGTGCATGGCATTCATTCTGTTGTTTTTATTTTTGAGACGGGGTCTTGCTGTGTGTACCAGTTGGCCTTCAGCTTACAGTCATCCTCCCACCTCGGCCTCCCAAGTGCCGGATGCCAGGCGTGTGTCACGACGCCTGGCTCCTTCATCCTCTCTGAACTGTTTTACCAAATACTTTTCTATTAACGGGTGTGGGTTGGGTTACAACTCAGTGGTGGGGAACTTGCCTTGCAAGTGTGAGGCCCTAGGCTCAGTCTCAGGACCATGACAGAAAGGAAAAACAGTGATCAGAGGCAATGAGGTGGCCCAGCAGCTGACAGCCCCAGGGCCAGTGAGGTGGCTCTGGATGACAAGCCTGACTCCACAGAGCTGTCCTTGGACCTCCCCATGTGTGCGGCGCCAAGTGTGTGCCCACACTCACACACAGATCACATAGCACACACGCAATCATACGAATAGACTCTCTGAAGAGACGAGACTGCCTGCTCTTCTGAAATCGTGTATAGAAGGGAAACAGCTGTTCTGTTCTCGGCTGTCTCTCTCCTCCTACTTTGGTCTTAGTAGAGCAAGTTTGCTCCCTCACGCCTCCGGGTTATCCAGCCTGTTGGCATGGAGGTGTTCATGGAATTCCCTTCTCCTCCTTTCTTCCCTGACTGGGTCTCACTAAGGCGCCAGCTGCTCTGGAAGTCATACTCTTCCTGCCTCAGCCCCCTGACTCGGGATTGCAGACATGTGCCTCCATGTCCATCCCCTTACAGTCATCTTTATTTCTGTGGTACCAGTTGTAGTGGCCGCTCCTTCCTTCCTGAATTCGGTTGTTGGAGTGTAGCTAAGGGTCAGTTGATTGTGCCGTTGCCAAATATCTATTTTGCTTATTCTTTGTGCGTTTTTTTTTCTGGCTCCTATTTCATTGATCTCTGTTCTTTTGTTTTGGTTTCGTTGTTGTGATTGTTGTTTTTTGTTTGTTTGTTTTGGAGACAGGGTCTCAATATGTAGCCCTGGCTGGCCTGAAACTCACTACATAGACCAGGCTGGCCTGGAACTCAAGGAGAGCCTTCTGCCTCTGCCTCCTGAGTGCCGGGATCAAAGGTGTGCATTCCCAGTTCCTTCTCTAATTTCTCAAAAAGCTGTCTTTTTACAGTTTTCTTTGGTTTGAATCCAAGTCTGAAAAAGTTCCATATGCCGTGCGTGCTGTGTCTAAGTGTATGACATTCCCCGTACACACACATGCACAAAGAAGTAAGTGAAAATAATTAAGGACATCTTTCGTTAATGTGTATTTTAACGTGTGTGTGTGTGTGTGTGTGTGTGTGTGTGTGTGTGTGTAGTGCTAATATAGAGGTCAGAGGTCAGCTTGCAGGAGCTAGTTCTCTCCTACCATGTGGGTCTCTGGGATCGAACTCACATTGTACAGCTTGGTGCCAAGTGCCTTTACTCAGCTATTTTTTTTTTTAGATTTATTTTTATTTTTAATCATGTGTAGCTCTTTGTGTCTTACATGTGGGTGTGTTGTGTGCACATGCGTGCAGGTGCCTCAGGAAGCCAAAGGCCTGGAGCTGGACTTAGAGATGGTTGTGAGTTGCCTGACTTGGGTCCTCTGAACCACCGAGCCGTCTCTCCAGCTTCCTAGTTTTATTTTATTTTGGGTTTATCGAGACAGGGTTTCTCTGTGTAGCCCTGGCTGTTTTGGAACTTACTCTATAGACCAGGCTGGCCTCGAACTCACAGAGATCCACCTGCCTCTGCCTCCCCAGTGCTGGGATTAAAGGCGTCACCATAACCGCCCAGCTTTTTTTTTTTTTTTTTAAACTGTATGTTTGTCTTTTTATTTTTCCCTGAGATAAAGGGACAGAATTAAGCTGATTACTGGTCAGGAGTGCAGGAGGCTGAGGATCCAGACCCAAAGTGCTCACTGTTCTCCGTGTCCTCTGCTCGCCTCTGCCTGTCCCATGGCACTGCCCTCTTTTTAGCCAGACCTTTGAAATGTGAAAAAGAAAAAAAGTTTTTAACACAAGACATCTATGAATAAACAAAATTAATAAGCAGAGATGTGGGGCAGAGCAAGTATCCGTAAATCTGTCCCTCGGGGTATTAACTGTCACCATGACCTCAGTTGCTGTGTTTCTTCAGCCTGTCCAGACTGTACTGGCCACAGCAGCCTCTGGGTTTCTGGTCATCAGGAATCGCCCTTGGCTTTCTCTGTGATATGTGACCATAAGGGACTGAAGAGGCCTTAGCTGTGCAGAGCCCTCCCAGCCTCCTCCCCCTCTTTCCAGTGCCCTGGGTTGCTAGTGGACAGCTGGGTTTTTCCACCCTGGAGCTGGGGGGAGCTGACAGGGCTTTGTGGAGACCCATTGGATAGAAATTTTGCAGCTTTCTCCAAAAGTTCATAATGACCCTTAACCTGTGACATCACCACACTGCTTTTACTCTTTGTTCAAGTCCAGGAATGTGCATAAGGGATGTAGATATATTTATTTTTAGCACTGAGGACTAGAACTCTTAGGGGAGATGTTCAAGTTACCCATTGACGCCTGTACTGTTACAGTTAATGTTTTATTTTTTTAAGATTCTTAGAGCTGAAAAAAAATCACACTGGTCAGCATTAGACTCTTGGGAAGTACTTGGTCAAAGGGTATTTTGTGCTGCCTTTTTTTTTTTTTAAACCTCCAATATTATATGCATTGTGTGTATAGTGGGGGTGGGGACTGGAGGGTCCCTGAACATCCAGTACGGCTGCTCAGAATTAATGTTTTCTGTTCCTATGGCTATATACTTTGTAAACACTGATGCCACCACACCCTGCAAGTGTGAAATAAAAATGTATCGATCATGATGCCATTTCAGTGTCCAGTCATTCAGAAGGGCTTGAACTGTACACGGGGCAAGTCTGAGGGGTTTGTTAGTCACCAGAAGCTAGCTCCCTGTCTTTCCTCTTTTGCTTTCTTCCTCTTCCTCCTGCTCCTTCCTCCCCTTCCTCTCTCCTCCCCTTCCTCCTCCCTCCCCTCCCCCCTTCTGCCTCCTCTTTTAAGAAAGATTTTATTATTTATTTATTTGCATGTGCGTGTGCCTGTGTGAGTTCATGTGCACCTTGTGTGCAAGAGGCCAGAAGAAGGCGTCGGCTCCTCTAGAGCTGGAGTTACAGTTGTGAGCTGTATGATGTGGGTGCTGGGGACTGAACTGCGGCCTCTGGATGGGCGGAAGTGTTCTCTTTACCCCAGAACCACCTCCCCAGCCCTCCTACGATTTTCTGGAAACCTCATGGGTGTCGGTGGTACCATAGGCCAGGAAGTCCAGAGGGAGCTGGCTGCTGAGGGGGATTGCTTTGGAACCACAAGTGGGTTTTCTTTTCCGTGGCAGTGAAGGTTAAAAATGACTGTCTGGCCGGGCGGTGGTGGCGCACGCCTTTAATCCCAGCACTCGGGAGGCAGAGCCAGGCGGATCTCTGTGAGTTCGAGGCCAGCCTGGTCTCCAAAGCGAGTTCCAGGAAAGGCGCAAAGCTACACAGAGAAACCCTGTCTCGAAAAACCAAAAAAAAAAAATGACTGTCTGGAGGCTGGCCAGTGGTGGCGCATGCCTCTAATCTCAGCACAAAAAAACAAAAAAAAAAAAAAAGAAAAAGAAAAGAAAAGAAATGACTGTCCTTTGGATTCCCCACCTCTGCTGTTGGCATTACTGCTCCTTTGAGACCCCTTCTTGGACCCCTTCCCCGGGTCCGAATAACATGATGTTGTTCATGTATTGGATGAGCAGGACCGTCTGTGGATGTCGTGGGAGTTACTTTTCTTTTTCTTTTTGGTTTTCGAGACAGGGTCTCTCTGTGTAGCCCTGGCTGTCCTGGAACCCACTATGTAGACCAGGCGGGCCTTGAACTCTCAGATCCGCTGCCTCTGTCTCTGGAGCACTGAGATTAAAAAGGCAGGCGCTACCAAGCCTGGCTATGACAAAATGCCCTGACATTTATGTTTATGGGATGAAGGGCTTATCCTCACTTCTTTAAAATTACTACAGTTTTTTGTATGTGTATGCATGTATGTGCGTGTGCACATGCTATACACATGTGGAGATCACAGGACAACTTTTGGGAGTTCTTTCCACCCTGTGAGTCCTGGGGATCAAGCTCAGGTTGTCAGGCCTGGTGGCCAAGTGTCCACTCTCTGTGCCATCTCCCTGGTGCTGTCCTGGCTAATGGTTGAAGGAGATGCAGCCCATCCTGGCGGGGGAGGCATGGTGAGGCATGGTGAGGCATGGTGAGGCATGGTGAGGCATGGTGAGGCATGGTCATGCTGTGTAAGCAATCAGGAAGTAGAGTTGACCTACAAGACCTGCCCTCAGTGGCGGGCTTTCTCCAGCAAGGGTCTAAATGTTCCACAACCTTCTAAAACAGGATCGTCTGGAGACCAGATGTTTGGACTCTGTGCCCATGGGTGACATTTTACATTCAAATCGCAACAGGTGTACTCTAACAGTCATGCTCTCAGGTGACTGTAGCCTGTGGCAGGAGAGGGTGAACACTACTTCCTGTCCGCTCACACAGGCTGCTTTTCTGCCTCTTGAGGGACAGGGTTTGAAAAGATCCCCACGGGGGCAGCATGCCAAGTGCTGGAGGCATGTCCTCTGTTCTACGATACCCCACACCTGGGGTACCCGCTCTCGGAGCCATGCTTAGGTATAAATAGTCCACTGCTGCCCCCGTGGTGCTTCTGCTGTTAGCTGGGCCCCACAGGTGGGTCAGGTGGAATTCCATGGAGAGGGCCTTTAAACCTTGGTCGAGGACCATGTAGCTGTTCCAGGTTTATCTTAAGGAAGAGTAAAAAGTTCTAGAACTTTCACTGGATCCATAAAAGCCCTTGTACATGGCGAGGGCTCGCTGGATGTTGATAAGGAAAACCATTCCAGTTTGGTCCCAGTTTGTATTCCAACAAGAGAAATAACAGGAGGATGCTCTCTTTACTCCTGGGATCCACTGGGAGTGACAAGAGAGAATGATGGTGTGTCACATTTCCTAGTATAAATGTTGGCTTAAACTGTGCTGACAGTGTTCCTAAGGCCTGGACACACCTCTTTCCTGAGGACACAGGTAGGTACCCTAAGTCCCATTGTTGAGGGCTTGAGAATATTGCTTGTGCTGGCGGTGACACTGTAGGGTCCTTCCTTCAGGGGATCCATTCACCTCTCCCTTTAACCACTGTGTCGGGAAACTGACTCAAAGCTGAGAACTGGAAACAGGCATCTCAGTTTTCTAGTGGAAGACAGCCATTGCCTATCTATCTCACCACACGGGGATACTGTTGTAGCAGGAACCTTAAAAGTTCTTATTGATAATATCAAACCTGAGGCCAGGTATTGGGGTGAATACTGGAAGATCAGAGAAGCAGAACAAGCCACAGCTACCTCACCTTGCCAGTTCCTCAGCTGATCCTGTTTCCTCAGGACTCATCCAGAATGAATCTCAGCTGAACTGTTGCTCAGAGCCTAAAATCTTAACCAGCTAAACACTTCTAGTTTCTGGTCTTCACGCCTTATATATCTTTCTGTTTTTGCCATCACTCCCTGGGATTAAAGACTTGCTTTCTGGGATTAAAGGTATGTTTCACCATGCCTGACTGTTTCCAGTGTGGCCTTGAACTCGCAGAGATCCAGAGGGATTTCTGCCTCTGGAATGCTAGGATTAAAGGTGTGAGTACCACCATTTTCTAGCCTTTGTATCTAGTGGCTGTTCTGTCTCTGACCCCAGATAAGTTTATTAGGGTGCACAATATTTTGGGGAACACAATACCACCACATACTGTGATTTCCAAGACACTGCCTGGGATCACTGCTGGAAATTGGGTCCCTCAGCTTTTGATGTTTACAGTGGTCCCCTTGATAATGCTGGGATCTTGTCATCCCCAGCGATAGAGGGGCCAGTGTCACAGCCGTACCTTTGGTCATCACTCTCTCCCGAGGATACTGCCATGGAGAGGCTAAGGTTACCAAAGCCCTCCTCACTGATGTCCTCACTGAAGGTCCATCTCTGGGCCTCCTGAGGCCTGTGGTTTATATAGTCAGACAGTAGGTTCTCTCGTGTCCGTCTTTACCTTGCCCCCTCCCTGAACCATTGCTTCCTCAGGGTCGTAGGCAACGCCCGGCATCGTCTCTTCCTGCGGGCTGCTGTCATGTTTGTGTCCAAGAAACCATTCCATGAGTTTAGGGATCAGAGCCAGCACCAAGGTGAGACTCATGGGTCATGGCAGACACCCCACTCCAGTGTCCTCTCCCAGGACACTGTGCTTTGCCCCTCTAGATTCATTCCACTGTTCCACCATGGTTAGACCCTCCACCTTGCTCTCCTGGTAGGAGATGAGGGTCTCTGCAGACACCATCACAGAAGCGTGTACCACTCAAAGACTGCCCCGAACTCGTCAGTCTCTCTTCAGAGCTTCCAAACCTCCTAACCAAGCCAGCCAGCCTTGCAGTCTGTCCAGCTCCTGGTAAACCAAACGAGCTAAGTCACATGCCAACTCCCGCATGAGGAGATTCTTCAGTGGGTAGAGCACTTGCTGTGCAAGCCTAATGATCTGGGTTCAATCCCACAACCTGCAGAAAAGAGAGGGAACTGACTCCACAGTTGTCTGATCGCCTCATGTGTGCTGTGGCACATGTGCAACACCATACATGCTACATGTTCTCTCTCTCTCTCTCTCTCTCTCTCTCTCTCTCTCACACACACACACACACACACACACACACACACACACACAAAGTCACATGCCAAATCCTGCCCCCTTTAACCTCTTCTGTCCAGCATAGGTGAGGAGCATGGCATTCATTTTGGGGTATCCTTGCTCACCCACTAAACACTAGCTGTAAGGTCTGGTTGCTAGTCGACACCTCCCAAAACTCCAGATGCTGACCCACAACGCATGTTTAGATGTTTGTTACAGCTCTCATTGCTCTGGCAGAAGAAACTTAAGGGTTTATTTTTGCTCACGGTGTGAGGGTGCAGTCCACCATGATGGGGAAGGCATGATGGCAGGAGTGTGAAGCGGCTAGGCACATTGTGTCCACAGTGGAAAACAAGAAATGAATTTTGGTGCTCAGCTCAATTTCTCTTTTTCCTCAGCCAGGGACCCCAGCCCATGACATAGTGCCTCCCACAATCTGAGTGGGTCTCCCATACCCAGTTAAAACTTCCTGAAAACTCTCTCATAGACATACTGTGAAGAGACACCATGACTAAGGCAACTCATAAAAGAAAGCATTTAATTGGGGGCTTGCTTAGAGTTCCAGAGGGTTAAAGTTCATAATCATGGCAGGAGCGTGGCAACAGGTCGGCAGACACATGGCAACAGGTAGGCAGACATGGTGCTAGAGCAGTAGCCGAGAACTGACATCTGATCCACAAACAGCTAACTAGGAAGGCTCGGCTTTAGAAGCCTCAAAGATTACTCCTAGGGACACATCTCCTTCAACAAGGCCACACCTTTTCCTGGCACACCTCCTCTAAACAAGACCACACCTCACAATCCTTTCTAAACATTCTACCCGGAGGGCGGTGGCAGTGCACGCCTTTGATCCCAGCACTTGGGAGGCAGAGGCAGGTGGATCTCAGTGCATTAGAGGCCAGCCTGGTCTACAAAGTGAGTTCCAGGACAGCTAGGGCTTACACGGAGAAACCTTGTCTAGAAACACCAAAAAAGAAAAGAAAAGAAACAATTCTACCATTTGGGGACCAAGCACTCAAATATATGAGGCCATGAGGACTATTCTTATCCAAAATACATTTACCCTGGAGGTCTCTCTTGGTGATTCTAAATTCCATTAAACTGACAGTCAGGGTTACCCTTCTCATGA